CACAGCGGTGTCTATGATGCCGAAGACACCGCCTAGACACAGCGGAAAAAGAATCGCACTCACGACCTTGGCCTTGCCTCCGACTCCATGGGCCCCACGGAGATGTGTCCGATGTTCGACAGAAATCTCTACGTACCTGAGGCCGTGGGTCGCAAGCGCCTCGGACTCCCTGTTGAGAGCCTCTACGCCCACCAGGTCCGCCCCGGCCCCAGGATCGACCAAGCCCTGGGTCGACGATGCCGCCAGGAAGATCGAGCCTGTGGCGATCTCCACTTCAACTCCTCGCCATGCCGGCGCGGCCCACAGGTCGTTGCTGCTGAACGCCAACCCGTCGAACATGTAGGCAGAGGCCTTCCTGACCGGAGTCTTCTTCGGCGAGGCCTCCCGCTTGACGGCGCCCTTCTTGGCACCGCCGACGCTGGGGCACTCACGCCCCCAATGGCCCTTCTCCTGGCACAGCTTGCACTTAGTGACCTTCATCAGCTGCTCCTGCGTGAGGAAGCGCCGCCTGCCTGAAGGGAGTCTACGTCCAGCTCCACCGGCTCCGCCTCCTCGCTCATCACGCCCCCGTCGATGGCGACCTCCACCTCGCCCATCTGGCCGGGGAGGAAGTGGAGCCCGTCCGCTGCCTCGACCTCGGGAGCCGAAGTACTCCCGGTCGCGGCGAGCTGCTCGCTTGAGGTCCTTGTTCTGCTTCCAGGACCTGTTGTTCGTCAGCTCGGCTAGCACCAGCTCGGAGTCGTCTTCCTCGATGTCCATCTCGTCGATCTCCGCGAGGACGGCCGCCACATCCTCTTCCTCGAGCTCGTCTGACTCGTCGGCCCCCTCGTCGTAGTAGTCCTCGTCGTCTTCGACCACCTGGTAGTTGGCACCCTCCGACCGACCTTCACACCGACCGAGGTTACGAGGTGAGGAGGAAGACTGAAAAGCACCAACCTCGGAGCGAGCGCCGGGACCAGCGCCCTCAGACGCTGCCGCCAGCATGCTGCCTGCTCCGGCGTTGCCGGGAAGCAAGCGCTCGGTGCCGGCGGACGAGTCAAGCTGGCGCAGGGCCCACTTCACGCTGCTGTAAGTCAGATCTCCTCGAGTGAGCGTGCGCAGGTTCTGCGCGCCTTGCTGACTGAGGTTGGTACCCTCCTCCAGGAAGAGTCCCTTGAGCTTGTCAGACATCCACAGATCATGGCCCTCCGCGTCGAGGAACTCCGCTTCTCGACGACTGACGTACTGTGTGAGCGTCTCCTTGGAGTCGCGGACAGCCTCGTACAATGCCCTTCGTCCTGCTCGTCGTAGCTCGTCTCCCTCGCGTTCTCCGATCATCAGGTCCATGCGGCTGAGGAGAGTCTGCAGCCACGACGAGGCCGTGAGCTCCTTGTCCGGGATGTCCTCGAACTTGGCCTGCATCGTCCAGTCGAAGAGCCTCATGAACTTCTCCGATCGCCTCCAGACCGCCACGTCAGTATTGTCGTTCCAGCGCCAGACGGCCCGGCGCCATTGCCTGTAGTGGGCCCAGCCTGGCCACGCCGGAAGGTCGGAGAAATCACCTCGACCTCCGGTCCACTGGCCAGGCCACCAGCTGCTGTTCCAGCCCGAGCTCCAGTCCTGGTGCTCGTCCCACTTCTGGTCCTCCTTTGAGTCGTCCTTGTCGCCAGGTGAGCGCCATCGTCCCGAATATCCTGCTGCTTCTCCGTTGCTCACCTCGGCTGCACGTCCGTGTCTGCTGCTGCTCCATGGGTCGGCGCCGGTGCCGTCCCACGGGTCGGCCGGCCGTCGAGGGTGTCTCCTGCGGCGGCCGCTGCTGCTGCTGTTGTTGCTGGCCAAAATGGCCAAGAGCCCGCATCGTCTCCTGGACGGCGGACTGGATTGCCCGAGTGAGCGTGTCCTGGTCGATTGCCGCCGCCGTGGCCGTAGAGCCTGACGCTGCTGCCCCTGGAGTCGACCCCTCGGCTCTTCGGGCTGTCATGACAGCAAAAGCCTCTTCTCGTCCGTCGCCTCCTGGAGCGACTGGCGGCGGTTGTTGCTCACCGTCCGCGGGCATCTCTATCTGCCGTGGATCCCACGCTGCTCAGTGGTCAGAGCGAAGGTTCCGGGGCGCGCGAGCGCGGGGCGGCCTGGCCGTCACAGCCAGCCTCTCGCACCCATGGCCGCCGGGCCGGACCCCGCTCCGCTACCAACTGTGGCAGCAGGAGAGGGGACATAATGTTTTGCCTTGAGCCAGATGTGGCACGGACGCACACAAGATGGATCTCGATCCATCAGTCCCCAGGGTGAAACACCAAAAGCTAAACCTATACGTGAGATAATGGACCCCTGGAACAAGGGTCCTCGTCGCCGCAGTCTCTCCCTGCTCTCGGCAGCGCTTCACCGACCCCCATCCCTTAGGAGGCAACTACTGAGAGGCTTGCGTCAAGGATCAAAAAGGATGCAGCCCCATTGGGGGGCTGTTGCGCGCCGGAGTGGGCCTCGGATTAAGCCAGATGAAGCGGGATTAAGCGGGATTAAGCCAGAGTAAGCGGGATTTGGCGGGATTAAGCCGGATTTCGGACCAGGGCAAAATCAGAATTTGACCCCCCAGGAGTTGCATCCGAACATCCCCATGAGCGTGGTCTGGGCTCCACTGGCCGAATGACTCCCCTGGATGGGGCTATAGGCCGCTTCCTTCAGGTTTCGAAGGGCATATCCCCAACTGGGGTGCTGAGATGGTGGGGGTCTGGATGGAGATGGGTACGGGGATAGGGGTCGGTTAAACGATACTGATCTCCCTGCTCTTCAGTCCCTGGTGCTGCGGTGCGCTCAGAGCCCGGAGCACTGCGGTGGTCGCGCGCGAACGCCAGACCGCATTGTCAGTGCATAAGCGGTGTCGAGATGGAGAGAAAAACAGTTTCCAGATCGTGCCGCAGAATTAGCCACTGCAGCGGCAACGGGGTGCGACCCAGGAGACCCCCCTTTACCCCGGCCCCAGTCTGGGAGGCCTGGAAGCGGCTGGGCCTCTTTGGATGCTCTTTTCCTGTGGAAGATGTCGCAGTGAAGTATGTGCGCCCAGGGCCACCCAAGCCGCGCCTCCCCGGTGGCACACATCGCATCCTCCATCCACTCTCTTTGCAAGCCCTCAAGGCGCACGCGTCGTGGGGGGGCATCCCGACTACTCGTGCGGGCTCTGACCCCGCGGAGTGGATAGAGACACGTTTGCTGTTTGGACCGACCATTCGAACCACCACCATCGGAATCCAGCTGGCTCCTGACCGTGACGACGTGGCCTTCACTTGACAGCTTCTGCCACCGCGCGAGCCGCCCCATCCTGAACCGCATCCTCTCTCTGGACCCCCGACGTCGTGATTTTCCACGACGTCGACCCCCAAAGGTCTGGACCCCTTCCCCGGGACCCGCTTTTCATCCTGAGTCGTTCTTGACGCTCCCGAGGCCCGGTAAGAGGGCCCCCGAAGGCCGAAGAGATAGAGAAAAGCCTCCAGCCGTGATTTGTGCACAACGCGAGGGGCTCTGGGTCGGGCGCGCTCGCCGAGAGCGTTCGCCGAGAAGTCCACGCGAAACTGGGGCCAAGTCGAGGCCCCGCCTGTTGGGGATCTTCTGACCCGGGTCAATCCAGACCCGGGTCAGCAAGACACCAAAAAACTGAAATGCAGGAAGAAAAAACTGCAACGCAGGTCTTCGCAAGCCCGGGTCAGCCAATATGCGCTGCCGCCTCGCGGCCACGAGCGGCTCGCTAACCCGGGTCAGCCAGAGCGGGTCTTCGCAGGATCCTGCAGGATCCGGTGCCCTGGCTGACCCCCGCTTGCACTGACCCCCGTCTCTGAGGCCCCGAGCCCGTCGTGCCGACGTCGCGCCACGGGCCGTGCTCCGTGGGCCCCGCGGTCCGGCACGGGCCCCCGAGAGGGTGCGCGGTCCTGCCCGCGCGCAGGTGGGCGCCGCCGCGGCGCTGCTGCGGCACGGGCAGGGCAACGCGAGCAGGGTGCCGAGACGCCTGTGCGAACAGGGGCAGTGACCTCCTCCTCCTCCTCCTCCTCCTCCTCCTCCTCCTCCTCCTCCTCCTCCTCCTCCCTCCTCCTCCTCCTCCTCCTCCTCCTCCTCCTCCTCCCCCCTCCCTCCTCCTCCCCAATCCCTCCTCCTCCCTCCTCCCTCCTCCTCCGACGCCGAGACGCCTGTGCCGACTTTGCGCGACATTCGATGGACCAGCAGATGGCTCGGGGACCGCGGCGAGAAACCGCCCGCGGTGCGCGACTGCGACGGCGCCCCCACGCTGGCGGCCCGCCGCCCGAGGGCCGCCGACCGCCAGGTCGGGCGGAGGGAATGCTGTGGGGACGCAGGTCAGCCCAAGGACGGTCAGCCCAGGGACGCAGGTCAGCCCAGGGACGCAGGCCAGCCCAGGGACGCAGGCCAGCCCAGGGACGCAGATGCTGTGGGGACGCAGGTCAGCCCAGGGACGCAGGCCAGGTAAGACGGCGCCAGGACGAGGATATACATATAATATATATATATATATATATATATACACTATACACGTATAATATATATATATATATATTATATATATATATATATAACATCGGGCAAGGGTGAATCGAGAATCTCTGAGATCCGGCGGCTCTGGAGGAGGTATCGGGCGCCGCGGCCTGCTCAGAGCGCTCCAGCACGCTCGGAGAGCGTTCCCGAACGCTCGGGAACGGATTTGTCTTCGTCCTAGCCTCGTCCGAGGTCAACCGCATGTCGGCCAGGGCACCCGTCGCGACGTCTGGCCGCCCGATCGGGCGCTGCTTCATGGGGGAGCGATCGAAGGGCCCCAGTGGGAGTCCTTTAGGGCCTCTCTGGGTCACACGAAAGGCACCTTCCTTCCCTCTCGTTGATCGCCCTCCCGTCACGCAACGCCCGAGCCGCTGAGCAGCTCCCCAGCCCAGGCCAGCGGAGGCCGGACAGGGGGAATCGGCCCCGCGCGGTTCCCAAACCCGGGCGCTGCGTGGGCCCCGAAGGCCGCGGGCGCGGGCGCACGCCTTGAAGCGGTTGAATGCGGCCCTCCACTCGTCCGCGAACTCGCCCATGTCGGCCTCCGACAGGTCGTCGCTGCTGGCGTCGGCGTCGGGAGACCTCGCGGCGGCCCCGAGGGGCCTTCGGAGGGCTCCTGGAGGCTCGCGCGGAAGGAGCGGCGCAGGGAGCACACTTCGACGTCAGCTGACTCCTCCTCCCCCGAGAGGCCTGCGGCCCACGAGGGAGGAAGGGAGGATAGGGTTATGTTGCTCCCATCGTACTTCAGGACCACATCCCAGAAATTCGCCGGCCCAACGGGCCAGAGGCGTGCTAAGATCTCCGGTAACTGGTTAACAATTCTTCTAGTTCGCGCGCGCGGGGCGGCCCCTGGGGGTCCCCCGGCGAAAAGTACCCCGACCGCAGCCCGGGAAGGTCCCGGGAAGGTCCCGGGAAGGTCTACTCAGAGATGGTTTTGAGAGCCTTTTTTCGACACCTCTCACGAGGATTGTGGCCTCCGAGGGGGGTGCACTCGACTACCCCGCCCCAAGAGGCCCCCAAGAGCCCCCCAAGAGGCCCAAGGGGGCCCCAAGACGCCGCCAAGAAGCCCCAAGAGACCCCCAAGAGGCCCCCAAGAGGCTCTAGGAGGCCCCAAAGAGGCCCCCAAGAGGCTTCAAAGAGGCCCCATAGAGCACTCGAGGGCCGGCGGAATGAGCGAAGCGATTTCAATAATTTCGAGCACCCAGAAGTGTCGAAAGAGTGTCGAAACAGTGTCGGACGAGTGTCTCCCAGGGCCCGACACGTCAAAACCCTCGAGTTTGGGTATTTTTCTGGCGCTCGAAATTCTTTCTGGTGATCCAGGCTAAAGTAGGTTGGAACATCACAAGGATAGGGGAGCAGGGGGAGGAAGCTGAGGAGCTGGAGGAGAAAGAGCGCAAGCTGAGGCAGAGGAGGCGGAGGACGAAGAGGGGGAAGAGAAGGGGGACGACGATGAAAATGGAAGGAAAATGGAAGGAAGAGGAGGGGGACGACGAGGAAAATGGAAGGAAGGAAAATGGAAACAAGAGGACCCGCTCCGTCTCATCTCTCCTCGCGGGCACCCTCGGGGTGCTTTCTCCGGCGGACAGCGCCCCGTCCCTGAGCATTTTTTTTCTGCTCGAGTGTCATCCAATGTGTATTGGGGCAATAGCTGTGCAACGGCACAATGAAACTGTCACGGAATACCTCTTGGAGGTGGTGACCATGTCGAAAAGTCAGAAGAACAGTTTAATGCCTGAAGTGATCCAGACAGTGCTTGTGTCTCCAGACGAGAAAGGAGGACGGAGGGAAGGGAGGCCTTCGGAAACACCCGGCGGCCCTGGGAGCACTCCGGAGGCTTGAGCCTCGGCGGCCTTCCGGCGACCTCGGGCCGGAGGTCCTCGGAAGCCCTCGGAGGCCCCTCGGAGGCGCTCCTGCCCGGCGAGGGCGGCGGCGGCGGCGGCGTCGCGGCGTCGTTCGCCCCTCTGATGGCGGCACCCTTCCCGAGGTATGTCCGAAGCCCGCGGAGGCCCGAGAGGAGGGCCGAGGAAGCGCCCGGCAGCATCGGCCCTCTGGAGCCTCGAGCCTCGAGGCAGCGGCGGGGAGCGCCAGCAGGCCAGCAAGCAGACCCGACGAGGCACGGGCTGGCGGACCCGACGGGGCCCCTGGGCTGCGAGGCGCGGTCCGGCTGCGGGGCCCTGTCTTCCTGGGGCGCGGGGGGGCAGGCGCGTTCGTCGTCGGCGCTGTCGTTCCTCGTCCTCATCATGGGCAACATCGTCACAACAGATGCCGTCAGCATCACAGTCATCGTCACCACCGTCATCACCACCAGCACCACCACCACCACCAGCACCACAATGATGATGATGATGATGATGATGATGATGATGATGATCATCATCATCATCATCATCATCATCATCATCATCATCATCATCATCATCATCATCATCATCATCATCATCATCATCATCATCATCAGCAGCAGCAGCAGCAGCAGCAGCATCAGCATCAGCATCAGCATCAGCATCACCA